TGGGCATGACGTGGATTCTCGATTCTGGGGCTACAGAACATTTGTGCAATGATGAAAGGTGGTTTACAACTTTGGAAAAACTGGATCCTCCCATCTCAATTGCAATTGCGAAGGATGATCAAACTTTGTCTGCATCTCACATTGGCACAATTTCTGTTACACTTGATACTGGAAAGACACAAACAATACTACAAACGGATGGAGGAGAGGCTGTGGGAGATTCTCTCCCAGGTTCACGTCCCCTTAAGTCTTTTTCGACAGTCGGCCAGGTGACTGATAATTCCAAATTAATTCATCAAGTGTTTGAGAGTGTTAAAGACGATGCCACAAGAATACGATTAATCACTGCACTAATGGCTGAAAAGGGCCGAACCTATGCTGCACAGGCCAACGTTATCGAGAAGATGACAGGAGACATAAGAGAGCTCCAACTGGAGAAGCGGAAATTACATGACGAACTGTCCATCGTATTGGCGGCAACCATAGTGGAAGAATTTGAAAAAGAGTTTGGAAAAAATTCGAAAGGACTGACAAGAAGACAGAAATTCACAGAAATTCTAGAAATGAAGGAGGAAAAACCTATTGCGTACTTAGTAGAAAAAAGTAAAGACAAAGGTCTTAGGTTAGGTTAGGTTAGGTTAGGTTACTAAGGCAAACTTAGTAGATGTTCTACTAGCAATAATGAATTTTAGAAATGCTCAGATCCATAAGAAAATCCTAGAAAATAATTTTGGAAAGTTTGGAATATGTGCGAGACAAGGAAACAGCATTTCAAATGTTTGAGGCTTTGAAGAATAAGTTCGAAAAGAAGGGTATTCTGTCTCAGACTTATTGTAGGAAGAAAATTCTTAACCTCAAATTTTTGGGCGATGAAAAATTGGATGATTTTTTCCTGCGTTATGATGCATTAATACGGAAAATTATGAATTAATTTACAAACAAAATGATGCTACACCCTTAACAGGTTATGCAGACTCCGATTGGGGTAATGATAAAATAGACCGGCGCTCCACTTCCGGATATGTTTTTTTCTCTCTTGGAAATTGCGTTTCATGGGCGACCAAGAAACAAACAACGGTGGCTCTGTCATCAACAGAAGCTGAATATGTTGCTTTATGCACAGCAACTAGTGAAGGTTTGTGGCTAAAAGGTCTAATGAATTCTTTTAAAATACCAGTTGAAAAAGTCATTGTAAAAGAAGACAATCAATCATGTATAAATGCTGCAAAAAATCCAATTAATCATGGACGGATGAAACATATTGACATCAAATATAATTTTATTCGTGAATTAGTAGAGAACAAAACAGTTGTAATCGAGTATGTGCCAACGAATGCGCAAATAGCTGATATTTTGACAAAGGGAATCCCAACCCCACAATTTGAGAACTTAAGATCAAAATTAGGGGTTGACCTTCAGGGGGGATAATTGTGTCAAAATTAATTGTGTCAAAATCGTCGGTTTTGTTTTTCGCGAAATTAGCTGCGCCTTATCTACACCTGATTGCGATTAAGGGGTGGATTGTAGGCTATAATCTTATCAGCTGTTTACATGATAAATATATGAGAGTATCTTTTTGATAATAAAAGTCATAGAAGTGATTCGTAGTATTCTTTTATTACAGTCAACAAAGGATAAGCAGTAAAATTGCTTCTTGTTTTTCACAGGTAATGAAAATTCGAATATGGTTTCATTCCTTGATAGTTGCAGAATTATTTAAGTTTACGATTAGTTGTTACTTCTTATAATTATCAATAAGCGATTAAATATAGTTTCGTATACATAATTCTATAAGCTCTTTTTGTAATCGAATATAATGGGCCAAGAATTAATATTAAAGAGATTATCAGTGAAAAGTCATGAACAGAAAAATTATAAAAATGAATTATCTGAAATAAAAAGTCATTTAGAGGTAATTAAAAATGACCTACCGTATATAAATGTCCATGATACAGCATACATGGGAGGAGGATGTGCCGCTTTTTTGGTTTAACGCTTTGTAAAATACAATGACATTGATATTTTCATTTTTTCAAAGTTTTGCAATGAAGAAGAAGCGTTTGAATTGAAAAGCAGAGGATATGAAAGATATGGCAGCAAAATTTCATTGGGTGAAATAGAATACGTCGAAAATTGTGAAGAAAATAAATATTCAGATTTTAAACAGGTATATAAATCGTTTAAAAATAAAAAAGAATGCAATTTGACATTCACACGTCATCCAAGAAGCTACATGATGACTTTATTTGACTTGGAAGCTGTATCAATCTTCATAAATTTGCATGACACAAAAAGAATTTTTAGTAAAGAATGCAGATGCAATTATGAAGACATAATCACAAGAGTTGATTTAAATAAATGCTACCCCCTTTCATCACACGACTCTAATCGAATTCAACCAGGTTGTAACTGTAGAAAGGGGACAAAAGTATTTCATGAGGTCATTAGATGAAAATAAAATAGATCTATCAATTCTGTCATATGATAATTGCCAAAGATGTAGCAAAAAAAAAAAAAAATAATAAAAAAATAAGTCTTAAAGTAAGAAAATTTGGATGTCAAAAATTCAAAAGTAATGACATATTAAATCTGAGAAGATGGATCCCTCCTTTAAGTGAACAATCCATTATCTTAAATTAAATTGATTTACTTTTCTTTTAACTCAAAATTTTCAAAGAACTGATGATTCGTCGTAGATGGTTCTCCTGAGAAGGGTTTAACTCTAAGTTAGAAATCTGAGCTAAAATGTCAAGAGGAACACTAACCACATACTTACATCCACAATTTCAAATCATTGTTTTCAAAAGTGGCCTTAGAAACATCTTTTTCCCCTTAATGTTAGGTATCTCATCTATTTCTTACACTTATCTCCTACCTCTCTACCCCAACGCTACATGAGGGTGGAGAGAAGGGACTCATTTCTCTCTACCCCAACCATCGTTGGAGCTCCTCAAGAAATAATCACGATTTTAAATTTTTATAGGCTTTCACCGAAAAATAGGTTCATATGTATAGGGGATCTACATTCCCTCCTGCCGCATTTCTCCTTTGATTGGCATTTTTATTAGGTTATTCTCTACTGTAAAGTAAGGATTTCGTGAAATTTTTATGACCGAGTAATTTTATTTTGCTCCTGCTGAATCAAATAACCTGGAAATTTCCTGGAAATTTTGGTTTCCATGGATATTAGGCTTTTTGATTTCAGAAGCCACTGTTAGAATCGACCACTATGTCTGACAGTGATAATCATTACCGTGAGAAGTCACAGGGTGACAGCAGTTCATCTCGAAAGAAAAAGTCCAACAAGAAGAAGCCACCTCCTTCACGTGTGCGCAATCAAGAATCAAGGATTGATGAGAAGAGAAAACGCGAAGGCAAGAAGACTCTTGACAAATTGGAGGAAGATCTTAGGAAACGCCATCATGTCGGTCTTACAAATGAGGAAGTGCTCCCACAGATTCATGAAACCAAACCAAAACGATCGGTCATGCTCAGTGTCACAACACGTGGGATTGGTCTTGGTGTTAACATGTTTTACCTTACTGCAAGTAACTATCATAATATTGTTTTCAACGCCACATGCTACCAGACCTATAGAGTTTATCTAGCTTGTCTAGAAGCACGCCTCGAAGACCTCAAATCTTCGAACCCTTTGCTCGGAAGATATACTAACGATATCTTGACCTACAACTCCAGTGCGTCATTTTCGAAGATAGCATCCACAGTCACAGACTCCAACACCGATTCGACACGTCCTAAATCAAGTCGGTATTCTCACAATTGAAGACACAACGCTCATTCCATGTGTCGCAAAGGAGTACAGCGCGCCTTTCCTTCGGCTATTCCAGTGGCCTTTTTGGCTGTTTCCGTCAAATCGAGGGAAATGCCTTGTTCCGCTCCTCTACAACAACCGCGTTCTTACAGGCTAACATTGTACTAGTACGCCTGACAGCCAATTCACAGAGGGTTGCATAACTATGAGGCGATCGAACTGAACGCGCAGCGTAAAAGGCAAAAAATTACGGACCCTCCGCGAGATATACGTACTTTTAAGGTACTTACGGACCGACCTTAAAAAATGCGTACTTTTTCCGGACTTTCCGGACTGGTAGACACCCTGGCATTTGTAGTATGTTATTTTTCCACATGAGTAAAAAATCACCTGAAATATTCATGACCAGAAAATTTAATTTACTTCCATTTCGACGTTGCCAAGTTTTATTGTTCGGCTTACCTTTTTTTGACCCTGCAGCCGTCATTGATGCTTTTTGTTAAATAATTAGTAGCATCCCTCTTGATCCCAGATACATCCAATTCTGGAATTATGTTCATGACAACTTCATTATTCTGAGTTTGTTCCCGCCTGAAATGTGGGCCGAGCCTCCAAGTGAACTTATCCCGAGCACGACCAATGGTCCAGAATCATCCAACCACCATTCTAGAGGAAATTTATATGAACCGCACCTCCGTATATATTACTTTTTTATGACATGTGTTTCAACAAAATTATTAAAAACGGGAAGGGAGGACAAAAAGTCCCTTGATTTCGCTGACTCTACAGAAACATAATGTTTGTCAAAAAGAAGAGTGAGCATTGGTCAGAAAAGCTTTTCTGAGATTAAGAGGCTCAGACAGCTTTGTTGATTAAAAGACCAAAACTTTAAGTTGTAGTGACAAAAAAAGTTTCTCGATGGCCTAAAACCTACAAGGTCTTAAAGACTACAACCAATGGTCTCAACCACTGGGAATCCAATGTAGCCCGGCTGCCATCGGTTGGCATGATGAAAAAACAATTGGCTGCCATCGGTTGGCATGATGAAAAAACAATTCTATTTGGTAAAACCGACAAAAATATTCACTTCACACAGCAATGATAATGCAAACAGTCAGAATAAATAACTTTCCATTACAATAGCAACCGGTAAATAGATAAAATACGGGTGAAAAAGTACCAGTTGTCAATTCTTTTGGTAACGTTACCTAGTTCCATTTGCAATGGGGTGGATTTTTTTGAGACTTCGAAAATTGTTTTCTCAGATGAAATTGACATAATTTAAAGAGAAAAGTGCAGTTTTTTTTCACTTACCTTACCAGTAAATTGAAAAGAAAAAGAGACAAAACATAATGAGACTGCCCCATTCTGTAAAGATGTGCATTTAAGATCCTAAATCCCTTGTGTAGTAGGTCATGCTACTAAATTGAGATAAATTAAAATGAAAAATGCAGTTTTTTTTCACTTACCTTACCAGTAAATTGAAAAGAAAAAGAGACAAAACATATTGAGACTGCCCCATTCTGTAAATATGTGCATTTAAGATCCTAAATCCCTTGTGTAGTAGGTCATGCTACTACTGAAGTGTCTGTTCTGAATATTAGAGGGGACGCAGGCTACTTTTTGCAAGCTGGGCAAGTGTAAGAGGGGGGATGATTGGACTTTCCGAATCTTTTTGAGGCTCCCTTAACAGAGAAAGATTAGAGGCAAGAGGATGGCTGATTTTCAGTTCAGATACACTAACTTAAATTCTGCACCACTACGTGCAACTTTGGCTAACTGAGTGAAATAATATCAGCAGTTGGAACGTTGGTATGTGTGATCTGACATTCAGCCTTCCGCTAATGTTTCATGCTTCATTTGGGTACCACGCACCTAATGAAATGTAATGGACCACTAGACAAGGTACGAATTTCAGCATTCTGATACATGTTTCGTAAATAAAATTTCACGCAAAACACGATGCGCACGAAAAAAATTACCGCAGTTAACTCCTTATGGAGATAAATATTGATTCTTGATGCGTGAATTCAAACCACCCGCTCATGAAAACTCAATGCTCTACGTGATTCACATCCCGCGCTAAACGTCATCATGACAGTCTCTGCGATATAAAAATCTGGCAACCTCAATCTTGACGCTTTGGCTCAGCTATAACTAATTGCTAATAGTTTGAACAACACATGGTGGGAAATTAACATTGCTCGATTTAGAAGCTTGCTGAAACCGTTGTAGTGCGCAATTTGACTCACGTAGAGCTTTGAGTTTCTTGTGAGCGGGCAGTTCAAATTCCTCGTAACCAATATGAAATAAAAACGTTAATATCTTTGTTAGGAGTTGGTTTCAGTAATTTTTGTTGTGTGAATCGTGTTCTACGTGAAATTCTAGTTGAGAAACATGTCGTGTTCTACGAGAAATTCTATTTAAGAAACATGCATCAGATTGCTTAAATTCGTACCTTGTCTAGTGATCCATTCCTACAGCTTAGAGATAATTGAGTCTCCCTATTCCAAAATTATTTTCCGTTGTTTTACAACAATGCTGAAAGAGAACTGCTAGGTTTGCATGTTTACCTACACATGTAAGTCAACTATGTATATAACACACATAGAAAATCTGATACAGAAAAGCAATGCGATTTCTCAGTTTAAAATTAACTGTGATGGGAGCGTAGGGAGGGCATGCTAAAATAATGTACCTGAAGCTTAGAAGTTGGACAGCATCAAAAATACCAATTCTTAGAGGCTTCTCGCCAGTTGGTGCAAGAATGAACATCCACTCACGTTGGAGGAAAGGCAAACACGTTGACTCACCAGCAAAAATGTTTGTCACCAGTGAGAAGAGCATGGGTTTCTCTTGTTAGGATTCTGAAATAAAATTGATTCATTAGAACGAAAGTTTTAAATAATTGCTTATGAGACCTGGAATTATGCAATAATTGATTTGAGGTGTCTTTAAGTGCTAAGAGAGCCTGAACTCAATGCTTCAAGAATTAAATTACCTATCATGTTCATCCACAACTGATCAATTCTCCAATAAATGTTGTTAGTCATGATGATGGTCCCATCACGTCTAAGTATGGCATAGTGTTATGGCAAAATGATAAAATAATATAATTTGGTTTTCTGATTTTTGGCTACAAAAACTGGTCGTATTTCCACATTTGCTAAAACTTGTAAGATATAGATAACTAGTACCCAAATTAGGAACAGAGCTGAATTGTTTAGATGGAGTTTAATTTTTTCTGCTATCTATTGGTAGTGATTAGGCTCAGCAATCACCATTCAAAACTAATTTATATTGTAGATTCTTCAAAGTCTTGTTTTAAATTTTCAGGGAAAATGAAGATTAGTTGCATACAGTTCTCAGGACTCACTTTAGTTTTCTAGAGAGGTGGCTTCTTGTGTTATTAATTTCGGTTCTTTACAACGATATTACTCTCTTGGAATGTACTTATACTTTACTGAATGGTTCTCTTGGTGATCTTGTTGTTACATAAAAATTAAAAATAAAAATACATTGGACGTAATAAAAGAGAAGAAAAATGCAAACCTCATGGTTGGTGTAGGTATATTTGAGGAGAAAAGGACACACATAATTTCATCTTCAATGCGCATTGCGTATATTTTGTGGTATTCTGAGCACCAATAAGTTTCTAGAGCTGCGTGTTCTCCATCTAAAAAAAAAAACACACACACACCCAATTATGCCATTAACTTTTGAAGAATTTTTGCCACAAATCAAAGGAAAATGGACGAAAAATGTCTCTTCAATTTAGAAAATGGATTTATTTCATGGTTCTAAGCTATCTCAAACCAGCCTTTGGGTTTGTGTTTACTTATGCACTTCCTAAAGCCCGTGTTCTACATGGTACAGTCTAAGAAGGGAGATAATGTGAAGAATTGATCTATTTGAGAAGATTCGAATAGACTCAATTACTTGCTCTTTCATTTGTCAAAATAGATGGATATTTGTTTATTTTCATTTATTTTCTCTTTTTTTCATCATACTATACCTATACTGCAAAACGTCGGACAACAATGCACTTTAAAAAGGTAGAAATTGACAGATACTAATTGAATGAGTTCAAAATTGTTTAAAAAACCAAATAACTATGGATCATTGTCACTTGTAAATTAAACTTAGTTCTGCACGGCCAGATGTTGTCGTTCCATCAGCATGAGAATACTAATTTTAACTTGCATGGTTATGCAATCACTAAAATTACTAAATCTTTTCAAGTTTTGAGGTAAAATTGCCAACAATGTCACAACTAACAAGGGGAACTTCCCAAGCTGCCGCCTCCGATCGGGCTGAAAAAATTCATACGAACTCTTTGGATGAATTTATTTGACCCGTATTTTTTTGTTTTTTCCAACGCCCCCTAGAAACCCCCCAAAAAATTCCGGAAAGTCTTGCTTTGAGCGCTCGAGTGTATATACGTAGTATAGCAACCGTTTCTTATCAGTCGGCGGTGGCTCTACGGTAGCGCGCTTGACCGGTGATACAGCGGTCCCGGGTTCGAATCCCGGGCGCCGCGCATATTTTTTACGACCGAATTTTATATTCTCACACATTTTCACATCGAATCCCATTTAATACAGTGGAACTTAAAACATCAATTAATTTACAACCAT